TTTTTTTTTTTTTTTTTTTTTTTTTTTGGTGGATTTTTGAGTTCACATATAGTTGTTGAATTATTTATGTTGGAATCGTACTTCATCCAAATGCCGTTGTTTTTAGTGCGATCTCACCCCTCAGTTACCTTTTTTGCCTGAATAAAACTTTTTTTGTTATTTTCTTTTGATCAGAGCAAGTTTTAGGCAGTTATCGAAGAAAAATAGAACTATAGCGCTTTACCAGTAAAAGTCGGTTACATCTTCCGTTGATTCATGTATGATATGGTAGAGTTAGGAAGACGGAAGAACTGGTTTCTGTGGTTTTGATCAGGTTAAACAACCTTAAGCCAAAAACTTGCGCAGGTACGTATGTGTTGTCTTCGGGTTGTTGTGTTTCTTAGGACGGTACCTAGCACTATCTAGTCTCACAGATATTTTCACTAAACAATAAATTTTGGAATGAATTATTGTTTTGCAGAGACTGGGTTGGAACTTTAGTTGTTAAAAAGAGGAAGAGAACGTTGGATGGAATCTCAGTTTTTTGCTTATTACGGTGGGTCTGGTTTATTTGGGACTAAGCATGGAATCGTGATATAAGTACATCAGTTTTTGCTTTGACACGTTGACTATTACAAGTATTACTTGCAAAACTTTTGAAAGACAGAGTGATGCGGTTGGAACTCAGTGAGTGATCTGGACAAGTTACTTGGATTTTAAATGTTAAAGGGTGTCAGATCTAGGGAACGGTTTTTGGTTACTCGGGGATGCGTCTTTACTTTCCGGATGGCAACCTATTTGGTGCTGAGAGTCTTCTATTTATTTTTCACTGTTTATCACTGAACAAAGTGGATAACTTTGGAGCTATCTCGTAAAACTTTTATGTTTTATTTCAGCACTTAAAAAAATAATTTATTAAAATTAAAAAGAACGAAAATGGAAGAAATTATCACACCAATGAAACCGCATTAGTTACAAGCAAAGGTTTTCAGAATTCCATGGAGCAAAGAATTCTGTTCAACTATTATCACATGTATGTATACATAAAGGCCACATATTGACTAGCACCAACATGTAATCAAAGTAATAATTAAGCTATAATAAGTAATAAGCCATCAAAACAAAATTATCCGAAAAAAAGTATATATGTATAATAATACTAATGGTGAACGTAATATATAATAAACAAACAAACAGTAGTGGGTGGGAAATAGAAAATGATGATTGAAAGGAAGGAAGAAAGGAGGAAAAAACAAAAAGGGAGAAATTTAGGTTGGTTAAGTGAAACTGCAAAATTAGTTTCATTGTACCCGGACCAGATTTTCTCAGCCCATACTTACAGTGCAGATTCAACAGCAATTAGTTTATTGAATGAGCATCGAGTTGAACATTTTTTTTTTCTTCCATATATATATATTTTTTTTTGTTTTTTTTATTTATTATTTTTTTTTTTTTTAAGTGAACAATTATTTACAAGGGGAACAACAATGATAGATAATGGTTATTGAAAAATAAGGGAAAAAAAGAACAAAACAATAATTAATTA